AATGCGCCTACCATCAACTGGAGCTCCACCCCAGCCGATTGCCCTGAATCGGCATTCGACCACCAGTTCCTGAATATAACTGAATCCCTTCTTCCCACCCAACGTGTCACATTTCCCACAAGAATTCGTGAGGGCCACTGGATGAACTGCCTCGACCTTGTGCTCACTTAGTCTCTTGACAATATTGGCATTGTGAATTGCTTACTTGCACTAGGCCAGAGTGATCATGTAGTTCTCATGTGGGAATACACTTTATTTTCTTTCCCTGAATAACCACAAGACCTCCGAACAAATATTTGACGTGGTAATTTCGAACAGATGAAACATGATCTTTGTTTCATCGACTAGGCATCCACACTCTCCGACAATGTTGAAGAAGCTTGGGAAAAATTCAAAGAGGTAGCCCACAACCTCATCTCTAGCCACTGCCCATTCACGCGCAGAAAACTGACGAACAGACCTCGCTGGTTGACTGCATCTTAAAAAGCGGAACTTAGCAAGAAGAGAAAACTGTGGAAAAGGTCCCTTATTGATAGAACGCATGAATTCCTCAATAATTACAAGATGCAGAGGAACCGGGTCAAACGTCTTATTGTCAGAGATCGACGGATGTTCGAATAGGGTTTGCTAAACCATGCCATTTTCAATCCCAAAGTTCTTTACAGTTATATAAGGCAGAGCACGGGGAACAAGGATCTTATCCCCTATTGCGAACTGTCGAAGGCGCAGAAGTCTCAGAGGACAAGGATAAGGCTAAATATCTCTCTTATTTATTCCGGTCCCTCGTGACGACTGAACCAGGTTTTTTATCCCGCACTTATGAAGAAGATTCGATTCCTTTTATTGATGCAACCCTCTTCACCGAAGATATAATTAGGGCTGAATTTCTAAATTTGAAAGAGTCGGCCTCCCCCAGGCCCCGATGAAACCCAGGCCAAGCCGTTCAAGGAGTTAGCTTCTGAAATGCCCAAACCGCTAGACTTAATCTTCCAGGCGGCATTTTTCACTGGGTGCCCACCCTCTGATTGGAAGACAGCAACGACCACTCCGCTTTTCACGAGTGGAAACCGAGCGTCTGCTAATAATTACAGGCCGGTGAGTCTTACCTCCATTTGTTGCAGAGCCATGAAAAAAATAATTAAGAAGGCGTTGATACAGTGCCTCGAGCAGCATCACCTCCTTTCCGATACCCAACACGGCTTTGGCAGTGGTAGGTCCTGTCTTACGAACCTGCTCTTCTCACTTGATCACTGGATCAAAGCACGTGACGAGGGCAAAATGGTGCACGACATCTATACCGACTTCAAAAGGGCGTTCGACACCGTCCCTCAACAACGCCTCCTGCATAAACTGCGTAGCGCAGGGGTTTGCGGGACCCTCTTCCTATGGATGCAACATTTCTTGACAGGACGGTCCTAAAGAGTACAAGTCGGTCACCAGCAGTCCTCGAGGTTACCTGTGGTGAGTGACGTCCCACAGGGCTCAGTTTTAGGTCCCATATTATTCCTTGTTTTCATCAACGACTATGTCAGGGATCTAGACTGTGATGTCACCTTGTTCGCTGATGACATCAAATTATGGAAAGTTGTCCAAAGTACGGCGAGACGAAAACCATCTACAAGCCAACTTGAACAGATTGGAGGACTGGTCAAAGCTTTACGAGGAGAACCATCTGCAAGCTAACTTGAACAGATT